TTGTTATGCAGTGATGGATAACTAATACAGGTGTGAGGGTCAGTTTTATGTATCAACTTGTCTAGGATACAGTCCCTAGTTATTCAACCAAACATTAATCTAAGTTGTTGCCTTGAAGGTATTTTGTAGATGGGATTAAAATCTATAATCAGTTACCTTTATATAAGGGAGATTATCCAAGATAATCTGGTGGGCCTGACACAATGAATAGACAGGCCTTAAGCGTTTAGGCTTCCCAAAAGAAGAAATTCTGCCTGTGGGCAGAGCTTCAGTTCATACCCAGGAATTCCAGCCTGCCCTTCCTGACAGCCTGACCTATGGATTTCAGACTTGTCTTGCTAGCCCATACAATAATGTAAGCCAATTCCTTACAACTGATTCTGTTTCTCTGGTTGGAAGCCTTGACTGATACAATCAGCATGAACAAGTCTGGTGGGTGAAAGTCTGGAGGGGTTTGGTAATGAAGAGCTCTCCCTTTATAGGAAAAGTTCTCCCTTTTCCTATAAATATGGAATAAACAGTCTGAACAGCCTTCCAAATGTTCTTGGCATTGATTCATAATGTGAATTTCTCGAGGTGATAGATATGTGATATGTCACTTCCTATCTGGTTTATCTATACGGAATCTTGTTGAATCCCCAATCCCAGACAACAACACAGAAACTTTGCTACTCCCAAGGAAGGCTAAAAGAGTGTCCATCAGAACGAATGAAGGTACTTATATTTGATGAACCCTCAAGTGCTGGGGGTGGATTTATAAAAAATAAATCTGGATAGCTCTGTAGGTTCATCTTCTTTCCCCCTTTTGATGGCTTAGCAGAGAGTTGCCTCAACAGGTCTGAGTAAGCTCAACAAAATAGACTGACACCAGCCACTGGAGTTCAGGGGCTCTTCCTTTCGAACAAGATTACTTTTGCAGTCAGGGAACACTGATATTCCCTGCCCCCATGACTCTATTAATATGTAAAATATATTTACATATATACCGTCTGGTCCCTCTCTATGGAAATACTGTCCAAAATACCAGATGATCTATGACCAGCCTGTTCAGTAAAATAATGAGAGTTCAGGGGATGAGGTATACTCTGCTATTTCTCTGCTTATAAGTTTTCTTCCAATAAATCATATTATATCTACACTGTAAGGTGCATGAAATCTCAAAGCTATGGCTTCCTACCAGGTATTTATAATTCATCTATAGTCCTCCCAATCCAAGTGCAGTTTTCAGATGGGGTCATTTTAAACGATGAGGAATGTAGCCTGATCACACAGATGACATTCTACTTTTATCAAGTTTTCTAGAAAAACAGTATAAAAGAAGGTCAACCTGCGGTAATTTTCCCATTAGGACAGATCAAGGGTTTTGTTACCATTTACTTACTCCCGTTATCTTGGATTACTACGAGTATCTTTGACCACCATGAATTATCCTCTCCACTTCCTAACCAACTGAACTATTTTCTTTAGCTAACTAGCTTTGGTAAGGCCCACATACATTTTTATCTTGAAAATCACAAGCAAGTTGAAAGTAACAGCACAGGACTGCGTCAGCACACTAAATTTAGCACAGTATAATTTTTTAATCACTTTCATAGATGCTGCCTTTTTACATCCAGAGGTATAGTCAGTCACAGTGGAACAAGGTTCTGATTATATCCTCCTGGCTTGAGCTTTTAAAACCCCTGGTTATTATCCTTCATAGTGTTTCAAACAGCCTAGCTTTAATGATCCCTTCAGGGTGTTTTTGATCCTGAGTTCCCATTAGTTACCTCCAGATGGCAGCAGAGGGCACTGGTCAGACTCCAGCTTAGAGGTAAAGCAACACAATCAAGTGTTTGCCAGAGCTCTCCAAACAAATAGCACAGGTGAGCCCCCACGGAGGTTTTCCCTTGTGGCTGGTTTGAACATTAACCTGCTGTGTAGCCTCTGCCTGCCTTTCTGGGCAGGCCCGCAGAAGTTTGCCCACTCTCCTCCCCTTTCCTCACACTGGGCTCATAACACACTTCCCCATGTAGGTCTGAGACTTGGCTCATTCTGAATCAACCCAGCGGCTCCACCCCTTTTGTTTATCGTAATGCTACTCACAAACATGAACTCTGTGGGCTCCACTGCCCACCTCTGTTCATCAACCAGACACGAGTGACTGATCTGGCCTACTGCAGCTACCGTAGCCAGGGTTTCTGCAGAACCAATGGCTCCAGAAATAGCATTTGGCTGAGTGCATTAGAAGCACCAAAAGTGGTATCATTTTGTCAGCCCAGCTGCAACTGGGTTTCTGGCTATAATGTGCTGGTAAAATTGGACAGGTTCTGGGGTGGAGAACGGGGGTTCTGACTTGCAGGGTTTGCTGATGTCCATGGTATAGCTCTCATCCACGGCCAATTTCAAGCCATCGTGATGTATGAGGAATTGCCAAGAGATATATGCCCACAGTCAGCTCCCGTAAGCTGGTATGAACTGGCTCCAACTGGCTTCGTTTTTGGTCAGGTCCACTGTATGGCTGGGCGAGGGAAATGGGCACTCTTCCTCTCAACATAAATTTGCTCGCTTCAGTCTTCATCTGCCCCCTCAAGGAGAACAGTTGGTCTAACTTCCAACTCAGGGCCAGGACTAAGGTGAGGCAAATGACGTGTTTAGAGCGCAAAATTTAAGGAGGCACTCGCTCTTAGGATCACGCAGGTGCAGGTTGTGCAAGTATATGACCCTAAGCATGAAGACGTCCTTAAGTTTTGTGCCCCAGGGATCTCAATGGCCACATAGCTTCTGCCATTAAATCAAAAGTGGACCAGCTCCCCTCCCCACTCCATCTCACAGGTATAATCTCATCAGCACTTCTCTACCTGTTCTTTTTTATCTCATAATGCACTGGCACATTTGAGTCAAGGTCTAAAAGTCTATCCCACTTCCAAGGCCCTACTTCAATACTCGCTCTGTTTGACCAGCAGCTATAGTTTGGGGTTCACCTAGACAATCATACTCATAAGACCCCAAAAGGCATCCCCTCACCAGTTTACTCAGTTTTGCAGAAGAATGAAAGGCAGGGAACACAGCATACCTATTAAAGGGTAGCATGAGTGATACACCTTCAATGCAAGTCCTCACAGCAGTCCAGGGCTGTCCTTCAGTCCCCAGAATGACATCTCAAATACAAGAAAACAAGGTTACACAGGTGGGTGCAGGAACTATCCTAGCTCAGTAGCCTCATGCCACACATAGAAGACAACATCTCTTATATCAATCACGCCATGAGTACTCCAGGACTCAGCAAGAAGAATACCTCAGTATGTCACACCACATTCAGGAATGCCCAAAGCTATGGCTTCCCTCCAGGTATTTATACTTCATTCACAACCTCGCAGCTCAGAGGCACTGTAACGGTCAACGGTTATGTTTACCATTAGGCAGTGTTGTATGGTTATACACCTGTCATTCCACCTTTAGTAGATTACAGAGAAATAGTGCTAGAAGAAGATCAACAAGAGGCCATTTTCATAAGAGGAAGGAGAAAGGGTTTTGTTAACCCTTTACTCATATAGCCCAAAGCACAATACCATAAAATTTCAGAACGCTGGCGATAAAGAAAATATCCTAAAACCTCCCAGAGGGCAAAACAAGTCTCATTCAAAGTTTTAGTAATTAGAATGGCTTCACACTTTTTAACAGCAGCCTCAGAAACTAAAAGACAATGAAGGAACATCTCCAAAATTCCAAGGAAAATAATTTCCAAGACAAAAATACAAATCTACAAACTATTATTCAAGGTCTCAAAGATAGATTTTTCAGGTATACAAAGTCTCAGAAAATTTGCCTCAATATCTCTTTTCTCAGAAAACTTCTGAAGAATCCCTACCCCTTCCAAACTAAGGAGTAATTCAAGAAAGAGAAGGAAATCCAAGATATAAGGGATTCCTCATAGGGGATAAGCAAAAGAAAGTCTCAGAATAGTAGTGAGGAGAGATTTCAGGATATTTTCATAAAGCAAGATGATGGAATCCAGGAGTATATCCAGAAAAAAAAAGAGAGAGTATCTGATATACCTAAATGTATTAAGAGGAGATTTATATTTCTAAGGATTCAGGGGGTGAATTATTGATGGGATATAAAAAGCTAAGGAAACAGAAAATCATACAACTAATAACTCTGAGGTAAAAGTAGTACTTCAAAACAAAACGGTACCAGTCTTTACTACACTGGGAGAATGGGAAGGGGAAAGGCACAAATGTTGAGGAGGGTGGTGGTGATCAGATTCTTCTAATTCCCTTCTCCCCTGCCTCCCTACACGACAGAGTCTGGAAAAGCTAATTACCCTCTTTGCAAGATTTTCTTGTAGTTACAGACGATCAAGTAGCTGTTCTGGTCGATGATATGCAATCAGAAGTCTACTCGGAATTTCTCGGAAAGCGTTTTACCCTCCTGATTAAACAGGCAGATTTGGCTGCCATCCTCCTATCCTTTCTTTTTGTCTTGAACATGGATTGATGCCTACAGCTGCCAACAGTCACACTGAAAACATGAATCAACAAACCAACATGCTCAAATTGGTGGACGACAAAGAGTCTGAGTTACTAATGACGTAGTTCAGCCCCTGTACCAACTCTGGACAGCCCACCTCCAGACTTCCAATTAAATGAGAGCCACCAGGCAGGTTTTGTTCCTTGGCCTATACCCACTAGATGCTAGCAGCAACTAAAGATGGTCGTGACAATTAAAAATGTTTCCAGCTACGGTCAACTGACCCTAGTGGGCAAAACTGTTAGCTGAGAACCATTACCTTAAATTAGTATTTTGGTTTTTTAACTTTCAATAATACCGTAAATGTATTATTTTGATACAATTAAATTATGAAAAAAGAAACTAACAGTATGAAAAGAGCTAGATGAGAGACCACCAATGTTTTGTCTCCTTTTAAAACCTCCCAATTTTCTTCCTGACCTCTCCCTGGGCCTAAGAGTCTCACTCCTTCTTTCCCAGACATGCACAGACAGAACAGAGACACTTACCACCTAGAAATGCACACTCATAATGGCTGCAGGTCTTGTTTGTGCTTTGAAGGATAAGGTTATTGCCAGTCCCATCCTGTGACACATGAAAAACCTCATTCAGGGGTATTAAAATAATTCTTTCACTTTCTTTATCAAAAAATTTTTCAACGGCAATTCCAAAGCACGTGTTGATGGTTAACAGAACGTCTTGGTCATTAGCAACTTGAGGTTTGGTTGAATATGCCAAGGTGAAATGGCCAAATCGGACTTGGTTTAGTCCTCCAAATGTAAATAAAGTAGTCTGCCTTACGCTATACACCACGTTTTTGTAACTGTTCTCACAAGGTCTTCTCAGCAACTGCAGAGCTTTCGTCAGGTAAAAATGAAAAGCTTTGAACTGGAAGCCATAGACATAATCTCTTCGAGACTGGCCAGCCATTTTCCCAGCTTCATTGAACAGATGGTAAAAGGAAGTTTGCTCTTGAGCTTCAGAAACATATGCCATCAGGGCTATTCCATGGTTATCCTTAAAACCCATAGGGAGAAAGAGCTGAGTCTTCCGAGCTTCCCACTTGGCTTCTGCATTTTCCCACACATCTTCCAAGAGCTGGAGGCTTGCTTTTTCCTCCTTGAGCAGCTGGGGAACATATTTGAGTTCCATCCTGCCAGTGCATTTTAGGTATTCGTCATCAAATGCATTGTCTGCCATATCTAACATTTCAGCTTGTACCTTCAAAGGAAAAGGACATTAATACTCTTGAAGTAAAGATACTTGGTGTACATCATTTCTCTCAGTTTATCGCATCCACCCCCTCATGCCCAGACTCTCTCCCTTGCTTACAATCAACTTTGGGTACGTTTTTACGTAGGAAGTATCTTCCACTGCTAATGATAACTTTTCTCACATATTTGTATGAAAGAGTAAATGACCATGCCTACAACTCATTCGTTTGAACCCTGTGGTACAGAGGAAAGAACAATGAGAGTGAAACTGAGGAAAATGGGTGGCAGTCCTGGCTTTGAACAATATTCTTAGCTAATTTCCTCAACCACTCAAGACTGTTGAGTGAATCTGAAATATCTTGTGTGAAACACTTTACATGAAGGATAAATATATAAAGGCAAACATTACCCCTTTTGCTCTGAGAATGCCCCCTCCCCCTTGTCTGTGTGGTTCAGCTAGGACTGATTCTGCATCTTCAGCCCCTATGATAAGCAACGATGCAGGCTTAAAGACCAGAGCACTCCCAGAAAAACAAAAGGCTTTCTTTCCCTATAACCATAAGCTCTAAGGATAATATTGGCTTGTGGCAGCCAATAGTTATCCATTTAGTCCCATGGAGAATCCTGTCTACAAATAAAGCCAACAAAGGAAGGTTTGCAGAGCTGAGAGGTGAAGAGAGAGATGAGGGCCTGATAACATTACTTAAGGCCTGAGTCTAGCTTTACCTGGAAACGGTATGTTGCTTCAGTCATAAGAATCAGTAAATTCCCTATTTATCTGAGCTAGTTTGAATTTTCTTTCCGTTACAAGTAACTGGAAAAGGACTAAGCATCTTTAAATGACACACATAACGTAAGAAGCAGGGCAGTGTGGTGTGACGAACACTACTAGCTTTGAATCAGATAGATCTGGGTTCAAATTCCATTTCTGTTACTAACTGGGTACTAATTACTTATGGGAAAGTTACTTGACATTTCTGAGCTTCAATTTTTTTCGTCTAAAAAATGGGGATAACGTGAGGAAATAGTATCTTCATTGCAGGATTGTTGTGAGGATTAAGTGATATAATGAGTATAGGCAAAGTCCTTAGCCCCATGCCTTAGCCCCAAGGCACATATCAAGCCTTCAACGAGCTGTGGTTATTCTTATCATTTCGTACTAGGAATATATGTACAGTCTTCCCTCAGTACCCATGGGGGATCGGTCCCAGGAGCCCCCGCAAACACCAAAATCCACAAATGCTCAAGTTCCTTATAAAACTGGCATAGTACAGCCTTCCCCGGCGGTCCAGTGGTTAAGGCTCCGCGCTTGCACAAACCAGGGGTGCTGGTTTGAACCCTGGTCGGGGAACTAAGATCCTGCATGCCATGTGGTGCAGCCAAAAAAAAAAAAAGGTGCGGTACAATGAATACAGTGGGCCCTCTCTATCTGCGGGGTCATGCGTGGACGGAGAGCAGACTGTATTATACTGTAAGTTCCTCAAGGGCACGATCTGTATCACAGTTATCTCCTGAATTCCAAGCACCTAGCATAGCAACTGGCAAAATATTTAGCTCAAGTGAACTAAGTAAGAACCCTGTGCTCAGGCCTATGGATCAAAACACAGGGTGAGCACATCTGCCCAGAGACACCATCTAAGGGTTTCTACAAGTAAAAGGGTAATGCCCTCCATATCATTGTCTCTTTCCACTGCTCTATACTTGTATAGAGTATATAGTTGCTATAGTTGCTATAGACTATATACAACTATATGCAAGTATAGAGTATATAGTTGCAACCTCAGTTGGAGACTTTATAGAAACACTTAGCCAGGATCTCTTAAAGTTGCAGGCTCCATGTGAATGATTCTTAAAGCGTGTGAGTGTGTGTGTGGAAAGGAAGAGGCGGTGCAGGGAACCAACTTAAGCAAGCAGAGCATAACTTGGTTCCATATCCCACACTATCTCCTTCTCACTATCTCTCTTCTCCCCTCATAGTCAAACTTCTTCAAAAAGACATCTATCTTTGCCATCTCCGTTTCATTTCCACTCATATCCCAACCCTCTTCAATCCAGTCTCCCACCCCCATTCCTCCATCCAAGTAGCTCTCACTAAGGAAACATTTCTTCTTAGACTCCTTTGCAGATCTAGCATATTTTCGTTGGCCATTAAACGCTGGTGTTTCTCAAGGCTACTTATTTTCCAACTCTCAGTTCTACCCTTAGGCAATTATATAAGACCCATAGTTTCAGTTATCATCTAAATACCTCTGACCTGTCCTGTAAGTGCAAGATCTGTATAGCAACTGCCTACTTAATAACTGCACTTGAATTGCTCAAAGACCCTTCAAACAAAACAATCTAAGACCAAGACCGAACTTATAATCTTACTGCCTACAGCTACCATCAACCTAGTCCTTATATAAAACCATCTATTCATTTGTGAAATTTTCTTAGATTTCTCCTTCTCAGTCACCCCCTGTGGCCACTTCATCGTTAAGGCCTAACAAACTTCTCCAGAGTGCTTTCTGTATGTGAAGCACTAAGTGTTCATATATATTAATTCATTTAATCTTCATGGTAACCCTGTGAAGTAGGTAGGTACTATTATTCGTTCCTTTTTTAAGGGTGAGGAAACTAAGGCACAGAGAGATTAACTTGTTTGGAATTGATATTTGAACCCAGGCAATCTGGCTCCAGAGTCCGTTCTCTTAACCAAAGTGTTGCGTTTCTGATGATGAAGATCACTGACATTTATGTAGCACTTTTTAAAAAAAAAGTTTAATTTTGTCCTCATAACGGTTAACCCTTATGAAAGGCTGGGCAGGCAATTCACAACACCGTTTTACGAATGTAGGAATTGTGTTGGCATCAGAAACGGTCTTGATTACCAGCCACAGAATATTCTGCTGGGGAAGTCACTGAGACCCTGAACTCCTGGGTCTGTAGGTCACTTTCTTGAAATGGGAATTTGAGCTTCATGAGATCAAATCATTGCCATCTCCTAGCCAAGAAATGCACTTTCGTCCACAGCACAGAACGTACCAGAGTGCATCTTGGGCGCCAATGCCTAATTTATGTTCAAGACTTCAACATCTTATAAGACATCACACCCTGAAACCACCACCCCACATTCCTCACACCATATCAAGGGTTGATCCAATATGATCCTGTCTTTCCCCCTGTGCCTCTAACTAGTCTCTGCATGTCTAATTTTAGACATCAATTCTTTCTGGCCAAAGGCCACCGCTGATTGTGTGATCTGTATAGTGAGTACCTTGAGCACTGAAAAAGCCCACAAATGCCGCCACAATTCAGGGGAAACTGAACGGACAAGGAACAGGTACAAAGGCTAGGTGAACACACTGATTATATTTTCTTCCTCTGAGTTATCCATTGAAACAAAATCCTATATGGATGAAATTCAATTACCAAAGGTTTATTACAAAAATGTAAAAATGACCTAAATGGTTAAAAAAAGAAATTGGTTAAACAAATTATGAAATATTCATAAAACAAACACATCAAATTTATGTTGCAGAAGAATATTAAAAAGGCAAATCAAAACCACAGTGAGATACCACCTCACACCCATTAGGATGGCTATAAAGATAAGGAAGAAAAAGGAAAATAGGGACTTCCCTGGCGGCGCAGTGGTTAAGAATTCACCTGCCAAGGCAGGAGACACGAGACACAGGTTCGACCTCTGGTCTGGGAAGATCCCACATACCTCGGAACAACTAAGCCCGTGCGTCACAACTACTGAGCTTGTGTGCCACAACTACCGAAGCTCACGTGCCAAGAGCCCGTGCTCCGCAACAAGAGAAGCCACCACAATGAGAAGCCTGTGCACCGCAACAAAGAGTAGCCCCCACTCACTGCAACTAGAGAAAGCCTGCGTGCAGCAACGAAGACCCAACACAGCCAAAAAAAAAGGAAAATAGCAAGTGTCAGCAAGGATGTAGAGAAATAGAACCCTCATACCCTGCTGTATAAGTAATTAAAACGGTGCAGCCACTGTGGAAAAGTTTGGGGCACTTCCTCAAAATTTTAAACATAGTCACATGACCCAGCAATTCTACTCCTGGGTATATACCCAAGAGAACTGAAAATATATGTTCCCACAAACAAAAACCTTTGCATGAAAGTTTGTGGCAGGACTATTCATTCATAAGAACAAAAAAGTGGGGCCAACCCAAATGTCCATCAATTAATGAATGGATAAAAAAAAATGTGGCATAACCATGCAATGGAATATTATTAAACAATAAAAAAGAAGGATGTGCTAATATACACTGCAACATGGATGAACCTTGAAAATGTTATGCTAAGTAAAAGAAGCCACACAAAAGGCCAGATATTGTATGATTCCATTCAGATAAAATGTCCAGAATATGCAAATCCATAGAGACAAAGTGCATCCCAGGGGATGCAGGGAAGAGGGAATTGGGACTGACTGCTTATAGCTACAGGATTTCTTTTTTGGCATGATGGGAATGTCCTATAATGAGATAGTGGTGATGGTTGCACAGCATAGTGAATATATGAAAATCACTGAACTGTACACTTTAAAACGGTATATTTGGGGGACTTCCCTGGTGGAGCAGCAGTTAAGAATCCACCTGCCAATGCAGGGGACACGGATTCGACCCCTGGGCCAGGAAGTTCCCACATGCCGCAGAGCAACTAAGCCCATGTGCCACAACTACTGAGACTGCACTCTAGAGCCCACAAGCCACAACTACGGAGCCCGTGTGCCACAGCTACTGAAGCCCGTGCGCCTAGAGCCCATGCTCTGCAACAAGAGAAGCTACCACACTGAGAAGCCTGCACACCGCAACAAAGAGTGGCCCCCGCTCTCTGCAACTATAGAAAGCCCACGTGCAGCAACGAAGACCCAACACAGCCGAAATAAATAAATTAAAAAAAAATTTTTTTTAAGTAAAATGGTATATTTTTATATGTGAATTATACTTGAATTTTTAAAAAGTCACACTGCAGACCAGGTAACAGAATATATAGTGATTCTATAAACAATATATCAGAGTATTAAATTTAAAAATGGGTAAAATTTTAAGAATTTAACACATTTTAAAGAACGTACTTCAAATCAGTGGACGAATACTCATTCAGTAGTGATATGAGAGCTAACAATGTGGCGGGAAATATCAGGTGAGATACCTGGCTCATATTTTACATAAAAATATGATAGGGACTTCCCTGGTGGCGCAGTGGTTGAGAACCTGCCTGCTAATGCAGGGGACACAGGTTCGAGCCCTGGTCCGGGAAGATCCCACATGCCGCGGAGCAACTAAGCCCGTGCACCACAACTACTGAGCCCGCGTTCTAGAGCCCGCGAGCCACAACTACTGAGCCCATGTGCCACAACTGCTGAAGCCTGTGCGCCTAGAGCCTATGCTCCGCAACAACAGAAGCCACCGTGCTGAGAAGCCCGTGCACCGCTACGAAGAGTAGCCCCCACAACTAGAGAAAGCCCGCACACAGCAACGAAGACCCAACGCAGCCAAAAATAAATAAAATTTAAAAAAATATATGATACAGAATGTTTAAAGATTCAATTGTAAAAAATAAAATCATAAACTCTCTATCAGAAAAAAAAAAGAATACTGAATGTGGGAAAATAGTCACTATATAGTTTAATGGAAAACATGTAGATAAACATTGCAGTGTCATCTTATCTGAAGAATAATACATATTTTTAGAATATCTGATGCCATGGACAGACACCTGTAGCACAATATTAACTTAAAAAGGTAAAAAAATACTATGTATAGTGTGAATCCATTTTTGTAAATTACAAACATAAACACATAGAAGAAAACTGAGAAGAATACACACCAACAGACTGAGTCTTTCCCTCTGGGTGGAAGATTGTGGATGATTTTTACTTTCCTCTTTTTGATTAATTTTAATTTTTCAATTTTCTACAGTTAACACATATCAGTGTGTAAAAGATAAGATCTACTTGTAAAAAACTAATTTACCTACTCTCTCTGTTCTCATTTCTATCATCAACCCACACAAATGCCTCAGGCAACCTTCTATCAAGAGCTCCCATTCCAGTGACCACATGCTTCCCATTCCTAACATTACCTGGAAGATGTCCATTAGAATCATAGGTGCCAGCAGCATGGTGACCATTTCAAAATGTCCTGCCTTCATTTTTCTCTTCTAAATTAAAAAGAAAAAATTCCAATTTAGTAGACTTAAAGAAAAGGTTTAGGGAAGTAGAACAGGATGACACACACTATATATATTTTTTCATTCTGGGTAAGAGTGGGTATCATAATGGTTAGGAAGTGATTATTAATAAATTTCCAATGGCTGGAAGGGTCATTAGACTTTGTCTGGTGGTCTAACACCCTCATTCTACAGATGAGGAAACCAAAGCTCAGAGAACTTCAGCAGTTTGCTCAAGATTAAATCTGTCCATTTCCATTCTCTTTTAGACATGTTGTCTCTCCCACCATAGTCACTGGTAGTCATTTTTTCTTCCTATCTCTAAATCTCCCCTCAGCATACATAGGCAATCACAAACTAAAAAACAACCGTTTCGAATTGGTCCCCTAGATCCCAGTCTCCAAGAATTCTCCAGGAGTTAGTATCCACGCATATCATCCATTCTTTGATCCTCTTTGCAAACCAAGTCATGCCCATTTGGCTAGGATGGAGGCCAGTAGTGGTAAAAACCAGGTTATCCGAGGCAATCTGCTTCTCCCAAATATTCACATTTAAGAGAAGCCAAGGATAAAACAAGTGTCTTGCATAACTTTCTGAAGGCAGGAATAAGAAGGAAATGGGTAGGAAGCAATTCTAGTAAGATTATATAATTCTATTGGCTGAATGCCCAATATTCATCCCGAAGTTCATGAGACAGGAGCAGGTAAACAGGAGGGTAAGAGGCCGTCAAGGGCTGAAGCTGTCCCAGAGCCATTAACTGATTCAATTAAAGACTGGTTTATAGTTCCTTCCACATACCTACAACAAAGTTGACATGGCTGGAACTGAACTGAAATCTCTTTTTTTTAATCCTACCAATCACCATATTATGGCATCTGAAAATGGGGAAGAACAGCACAGGGGAAAGAAGATAGTCTTCCCTTTGGCCCCAGATCCCCATCTTTATTCAGGAGCAGTTTCTTTCACTAAAGATAGTACAAACATGCCACTCTTGTGTGAAGCTTCCCTTTAAAAAAAGGATTTGGAAAATAATACTTGACAGATAACTGTCACAAGGCAGTATGTACCAAGCAAGCTCTGAATCAGGATTTTCTTGAAAATTCTTCACTTCCATAGTCTGAGTGTAAATAAGTCAAAATGTTTACCTGGCTTTTCTGTCTGTGGAGGTTTAAATGATGCTAGGTCTCAAACTGTTTCCCCAGTCTCTCAGTGGTGGTGAGCGTGTCTTCAGGATAGGAGGCTGTTGACACTGAGAGCTGAGAAGGGAATGCCTTTCTTTTTATAAACATCCCCAGCAATAGCTTGGCAGTGGCACATTACCTCATTTGTGTTCTGCTATTTATATCTGCCCCCCAGACTATCCCTTGGAATCATTACTGTTAGCACATGAAATCTCCAAGAGGCTTGTAAAGCCACAGCAATTCCCTCTAACCACACAGCGTGTTCAGGTCTGAGCCCTCAGTTCTGGGCTTCTCAGAGAGTGATCACTTCCCATTCCTAACCCTTTGACCCTTTGACTCTGAGATGTCAGACTAAAGCAAGGATTTTACCCTAGCTAAATGGTTCGCATAACTCAGGGAACTTGCTGTGTTAATCACTGGCAATGGTGATGGCTATCACCATTCACTCAACTGGCTTACTGTATTTTAGGTACTGTGCCAGGTGCTGGGACACACAAGTAAGTGAAATAAAGCTGAAAAGCACTCAAACTAACAAAAGACATGAATATGCATACTTAACCAGAATACATGTTAAGAATCTTAGGTACAGGCAAAGCCCAGTGAGAACACTAAGAAGGGAAGGATTTGGTAATATCTACACTATAGCTCTCATTTGAGTAAAGTACACCTAGTAAATATACTGACTGCAGTGCTGAAGAATACTTAAGAATTCACTGACTGTGGATATAAAACCGTGAAATGTCCTAGGAAATTCACGCATATGTGTATCAAATTAATTAATAGAATATTTAGAAAGTAGCAATATTCATAAAAGCCCCAAACTGCAAACCATCCAAATGCTTATAAATAGTAGAATGGATAAATTGTGGTGTATTTATACCATGGAATTTTGTATAGTATTGAAAATTAATAAACTCTTAACTGTATGTTATGTGCATAAATACCACAAATTTTAAACCTATGAACAGATACAAACATCTACACACTGAATGATTTAATTAGTATAGAGTACAAAATCAGGCAAAACACTTCTATGGTATCAGATGTCAGAACAGTACCCTGACTGGGAGGTAGTAACTGGAAGAGGCACAAGGGGAGCATCTGGGATGCTAGTTAGGTTCTGTTTTTTGTTCTGGGTCTCGATTACACTGATATATTGTTTATGAAAATTCACCAAGCTATTACATACTTAAATGTAGTTTTCTCTCTGTGTGTGTACATACATATTTACTCAATGAAACATTTTAAACTGTCATGAAGTGAACCTACTTTTACAAAACCCATCTCTCCTCCTCAGACTCTTCCAGACGTCTAGCCTCTACCCACCTCACTGGCTAAGCAATTTAAGATTAAATACACTGAATAGGCTCTCAGTAATTGTATCATTTTAAAAAATAGAGTTTAGTTAGAAAGGAAAAAGTTTGCACGTTTTCAGTCCTTAGGCTCACTATGACCGGCATTTTAGGCCCAGGCATGTGGGCCTACAGGGAATGAAGTAGTGGGATTTTCCTGTATTTGGCCCCCTAAAGCCTATCAGATTCATCAATGAATCACACAAAAGACTGAGTCTACCAAAAAGAGCATAACAAACACGGCATGAAGCTCAAAGCAAGTTTGACCTTATTTATTCCCAGTATGCTTTTGCTCCATTCTTGTTTTCTTTCAAGAAAACATAGTGACTTGATATTTGTATATACTGTGACATGATCACCACAATTAAGTCTAATTAACATCCATTACCATACACAGTTACAAAATATTTTTTTGTGTGATGAGAACTTTTAGGATTTAGTCTCTTGGCAACTCGCAAATGTGCAATATAGTATTATGAACTCTAGTTGCCAATTAGATCCCCATGACTTACTTACTTTGTAACTGGGAGTTTGTGCATTTTGACTCTCTTCACCGATTCTGCTCAACCCCCACCCCCATCTCTGGCAGCCACCAATCTGTTCTCTGTATCTATAAGCTTGGTGGTTGCTTTTGTTTTTATATTCCACATATAAGTGAGATCATACGTTACTTGTTTTTCTCCATCTGACTTACTTCACTTGGCAAGATGCCCTCAAGATCCATCCATGTTGTTGCAAATGACATTATTTCATTCTTTTTATGGCTGAGTAATATTCCATTGTATATAGGTGCCACATCTTCTTTATCCATTCATCTGTCGATGGACACTTAGGTGGCTTCCATACCTTGGCTACTGTAAATAATGCCACAAAGAACATGGAGGTGCAGAAATCTTTCCAACTGTTTTCATTTTCTTTGGGTAAATACCCGGAAGTGAAATTGTTGGATCATACAGAAGTTCTATTTTTAATTTTTTGAGGAACCGTCATACTGTTTTTCATAGTGACTGCACCAATTTACATTCTCACCAGTAGTGTACAAAGGTTTCCTTCTTCATATCCTAACGTTTGTTATTTCTTGTCTTTTTGATAATAGCCATTCTAACAGGTGTAAGGTGATATCTCACTGTGGTTTTTTTTTTTTTTTTTTCTTGGCCGCACTGCACAGCATGTGGGATCTCAGTTCCCTGACCAGGGATTGAACCCACGCCCCCTGCAGTGGAAGTACAGAGTCCTAACCACTGGACGGCCAGGGAAGTCCTTCTCATTATGGTTTTGATTTGCATTTCCTTGAAGATTAGTGATGTTGATCTTTCCATGTGTCTGCTGGCCATCTGTATATCTTATTTGAAAAAATACCTATTCAGGTCTTTGCCCATTTTTTATATAGATTGTTTTTCTCCTATTGAGTTGTATGAGTTCTTTATATATTTTGGATATTAACCCTTTATCATATGTATGATTTGCATATTATCTCCCAATCAGGCTGTATTTTCATTTTTTTTTCTTTTAACCACGTAAGTCCCTGGGGGCCTTTTTAAAAAATTAATTAATTAATTTATATTATTTATTTTTGGCTGCAGTGGGTCTTCATTGCTGCATGCGGGCTTTTCTCTAGTTGCGGCGAGTGGGGGTTACTCTTCATTGTGGTGCGCGGGCTTCTCATTGTGGTGGCTTCTCCTGTTGTGGAGCAGGGGCTCTAGGCATGGAGGCTTCAGCAGCTGTGGCTCGCGGGCTCTAGAATGCAGGCTCAGTAGCTGTGGCACACGGGCTTAGTTGCTCCATGGCATGTGGGATCTTCCCAAACCAGGGCTTGAGTCCATTGGTAGGTGGACTCCTAACCATTGTGCCACCAGGAAAGTCCCCTGTATTTTCATTTTTAGATGGTTTCCTTTGCTGTGCAGAAACTTCTTAGTTTGGTATAGTCCCACTTGTTGATTTTTGCTTTTGTTGCTTTTGCTTTTGGTGTCATATCCAAAAAACCACTGCCAAGACCAATGTCAAGGTGCTTACCACTTATGTTTCCTCTAGGAGTTTTATGGTTCAGGTCTTATGGGTTGGCCAAAAAGTTCACTCAGGTTTTCCCATAAGATGTTTTGGAAAAACCCAAACAAACTTTTTGGCCAACCCAATACATTCAAGTCTTTAATACATTTTGAGTTAATTCTTAGGTATGATGTAAGATAGTGGTCCACTCTCATTCTTTTGCCTGTGGCTGTTCAGTTTTCCAAACACCATTTACTAAAGAGACTGTCCTTTCACCACTGTATACTGGCTCCTTTGTCATAAGTTAATTGACCATATACACATGAGTTTATTTCTGGGCTTGCCATTCTATTTCACTGATCTATGTGTCTGTTTTTATGCCAATACCATACTGTTTTGATTACTATAGCTTTATAATATAGTTTGAAATCATGGAGCACAATGCCTTCAGCTTTGTTCTTCTTTCTCAAGATTGCTTGGGGGTTTCTGTGGTTCCATACAAGTTTTAGGATTTTTTTGGTCCTATTTCTGTGAAAAGTGCTATTGGAATTTTGAAAGGGATTGCACTAGCTATGTAGATTGCTTTGGGTAGTATGGACATTTTAACAATATGGATTCTTCCAGTCCATGAGCATGGACTATCCTTCTATTCATCTGAGTCTTCTTCACCATTTTTCATCAATGTCTACAGTTTTCAGCATACAGGTTTTTCACCTCCTTGGTTAAATTTATTCACAAGTATTTTATTATTTTTGGTGCAATTATAAATGGGGTTATTTTCTTTATTTCTCTTTCTGATAATTCATTATCGGTGTAAAGAAACACAACAGATTTCTGTGTATTGATTTTGCAGCCTGCAACTTCACTGAATTTATTAGTTCTGGTTTTGGGAGGAGTCTTCAGGGCTTTCTGTATATAATATCATGTCATCTGCAAATGACACTTTTACTTCTTCCTTTCCAATTCAGATGACTTAATTTCTTTTCCTTGCTGGATTGCTCTGGCTAGGACTTCTAATACTATGCTGAACAGAAGTGATAAGAGTAGCCATCCTTGTTTGAACATGATTTTAGAGGAAAAGCTTTCAGCTTTTCACCACTGAGCATATTAGCTGTGGGCTCTCATAGATAGCCTTTACTATGTCGAGGCACATTCCCTCTATACTGACTTTGTTGAGAATTTTTTATCAAAAATGTCTTAAATTTTGTCAAGTGGTTTTTCTGCATCTTTTGTGATGATCACATGATTTTTATCCTTCATTTTGTTAATCTGGAGTATCTCACTGATTGATTTGTGAATATCAAAACATCTTTGCATCCCTGGAATAAATCCCAATTGATCATGGTGTATAATCCTTTCAATGTATTGTTGAACTCAGTTTGCTAATATTTTAAGGATTTTTGCATCTATGTTCCTCAGGGATACTGGCCTGTAATTCTCATTTTTTGTAGTGTATTTGTCTGGTTTTGGTATCAGGATAATGCTGACCATAAACTGAGTTGTGAGCTCGGAAGTGTTCCCTCCTCTTCTATTTCTTGGAAGAGTCTGAGAAGGATTGGTGTTAATTCTTTTCAAATGTTTAGTAGAATTTGCCAGTGACGCCATCTGGACTTTTATTTGGGGGAAGTTTTTAATTACTGATTCAATCTACTTACTAATAATCAGTCTGTTCAGATTTTCTGTTTCTTCCTGATTCACTCCTGGAAGGTTGTTTGTTTCTAGGAATTTAT